GTGACGGCTTATTCATAAGGCTCCCTGCTAATTTTACAGCTGTGCCACATTGTATGTTATTATTGTTCACATCTTGTTCTGACATTAATAAGCTATTAGTTGAACGAAATGAAATTGCAGTCGTAAAACGCACGCATCCAAACAGCAAGGCTCGCACTTTAGATGACCAAAGACTCGTTAACCTTTCTGTATTTATTAGAAGCGAAGCATAATGGTGTGAATGCCTTTATCGAAGGAAGAGTAATTTTCCGCTGAGACTAGATGTTTGAATTCGGCACCTACAAAACGCAAACGAGCCAACTAACTTGCTGTGCAACTCTAATATATACCGGAGGATGTTAACTCTGAGGAACACATGGACGCGTTAGCTGAAAATTAGACCTAGAGTTAAAGAGCTATCAGCTACACAATAAGGGATCATGCTGATTCTGCACATACTCTTAAAGACCCACTGTAACTGTGAAATCTTGCCGTGAATCTCGATATGATTACTTAAAAAGCATTTAGCATTTGCAATTGAGACAACTTGCTATGCGTTTTTAAAAGTTCTATGCAGGAGAAGGAAACTCCATTTATATTCTGACACGATTGCATTTGCGAGGTAGCCAATTACATCTTTCAACTGACAATCTATTATTTGGACGACTGATGACGACTCAACTGCATCACAGAAGAAACACATGTAAGATTTCTTTTTGGCAATAACACTGCGAGAAAACCAGGAGGTTGTTCTAAAACTTGAAAATGGTGCGTAAAATCTGAAGAACCGCGGGAGAAAATAACCATCTAACGTTTTGTATTCAGGTCTTTGTTTCTCGTAGCGGAGCATGATAAATGCCATTAATGTTTAGACTGCCATAAATGCTCAGACAATCGAAAAAATTTTACGACATCACTTTGATGCTATGCAACTCTGACTCATTGCCATAGTGATATAGATCTAACTGTTGAACAAATATTCGCCATGCAATCGATTTGGTGCTTCGCGATTTGAATAATCAGACGTCACTTTACCATATGTTGTTATCGTATTATATGATCCTGATCTACTCCTTGCTGTGCCGATGAGCCTGCATGCAATCGAAGCTTCAAAGCAAACAGTGCTTCTATAGATAGTGTTCTACTAATCACAGAGTGAGAATGAGACAGTTTTCCTTACTGAGGTACTGTATAATACCGTATGTCCAGTTAGCGGGATGTATTTGTCATACAACATAAATATAGAACCTGAGGGCAAGTAGTTGTGGTACGTTCGTACGCGCGGCTCTCCTTTA